TTTGCTTTTTTCAGAAGTATTAGAGTCTCCCACATTGTATCGCAGAGGAGGATCACTCATTAAAGCCAAAATGCTATATGAAACTTGCATGAACAGCGGTAAGTAATACTTAAAAGTTTTCAATCACTCTTTCGATTAAAAACATCTAAGATTCTTTACAATGCAAGAAAATGAAATTTTCTTGCATTGTAAAGAAATGAATAAGAAAATTTAATTCTTATAGTATTGAAAAAAAAATAAGAAAAGTGAACCATCATACATGTTGTTAAATATAATAACAAAATATTACCACGCGTTGGCCAGAGTTTTTATCTGGTGTTTTTGTTTTTGAATCTCTAATTTCAGACGAATATTTAACACTAACCATAATGCTAAAAAAAATCAAAATTGATTTCAAAGGTCCCAATTTTTATTTTGTCATAAAAACAGTTTAAATAATTTTCATTTACTTTTATCAAAATGTTTCTAAAATACCGCTTCAGGCAAATTTCGGAAGCTGTTTTGATTCAAGTATTTGAAAGAAAATGTTTTTCTTTTCTCCAGATACTTTGGAAGACGATTCAGTCCAGGTTCTTAGGTTTTTCTTGTCCGAAAGAGGTGTTGGTCATTGGCCAGTGCTGGATGCGGACTGGATATCAAGTGACATGAATTTGGAATGGAGACTAGCTATGCTATTTGTCCATCATTCTCCTGTCTTCTTCCATATGTATGCAGACGCTCCCCTCTTTTCTCCAGAGTACATTTTGAATGTAAGACGCTTTCATCTAATTTAATAATTTCTGTAGTTGTAGCCGAAACAACTTTCTATTTTAAATCACTTCTTATCTTATATATTTATCACTTTTTAAGTTGAACCATTAATGTAATAACTAATTACTATTTTCATGCACAGGATTTAAAATTGTTCATCTGAAAAGGTAAAAGGTAATAAATACAGACATTTATCATATAATAAATACTGCATTGTGCAAATAATTTCAAGATGCTTGTAGTACTATGGTTGTTTAAGGTATTCATGGAATATTGCTTATATAATTTGTTTAGAAGTTTCTCATTAAAGATATATTGCATTAAATTGCACATATTTCTTTTTTTTTCAAAAAAAGTATGCCTTTTCTGCATTGTTCATACCAACCAACATTGGAAGAACAGAAATAATCTTATGCAGCATGTTTAGACAAGTTTTTTCATTTAACTTTGTTAAATAAAAATTATCTAAAATACTTCGATCAATGAGTTATTTATTTAAAATTATTGTTCCTTACTAACTTTTTAATATTTTGGAATCTTTTACTTTTGCCCCAATATTTCTATAATCATTATCTCAAGTACTTTATGGAACTTTTCAAGCTTTGTTTTGACGTAAGTTCAGTTTAATTTAAACAACAGTTTTGATTCTTAGGAAATTTACAAAAATTAGTAAAAACATTTTAATTTAATACAGCACATATTGAGCAAATCCTTAGATATTTTTCTAAAGATCATTTATGTACACACCTTTTATCTCATATTAGTACATTTTTAATCGCACATGAATTCAATATAAAATTTCAATACAAATCATATTTAAAGTGATGATAAAGATCCAGAATGATGAATTTTATAAAATATGTCTGCATTGAGGTTTACAACTGCATCAGGCTTAGGTTTTTAGCTTAGAAACTTGCATTAGGTTTTGAGTACTGAAATCTATTTATTTATTCAATTATCTGATATTTATTTGCAAAGAGATTTCAAATTGGGGATAAAACCTTCATCTGTGCTCTAAATGACCTTCAGTCAAAATATACAAAAATATTTTATTTTTAAGGAAAATTTTACACAATTTTTATATTTTTCATAAAAAAAGCAACAGCATAATTAGAAAAGTTATAAGCTGTTTTTTTGTTGCTATATTTGGTATACTACGAATACTTGATATACTTAGAGTAATTGTTATAATAGGTTACATAATGCACTAGGTTGTTCCAAACATTGCAATATATTTGATATTAATTAGCACCAAGTAAGTTTTCTATCTTTTTAGGTCTACCCAGCTTCTTCTCCTCTGGGTGCAAAAGAAGTTGCTGGTGCCGATAGAGAGAGGATATTTGAAGCGTATCACAAATTACTCATCGAGACTTTGAGACTTCTAGGTGTGGCAGAAGTACGCGTGCAAGCTGATTCTTTCGACATCATCGGGTTTGAGCTTCAGTTCTCCATGATCACAAATGTACGGAAAGCTTTCTTTATGCCTCCCTAAACCAGTGGTTCCCAAACGGTGTTCCGTGGTACCCTGGGGATCCCTTAATTTTTTTAAATCAGTAATGATTTTTGGAACTTGTAATTAGATTTAAATCAGAACAATAAATTATAATTCCTTAGATAAGTGGATTATTTTTGTGAAATTATTTAAGGAAAATGCCAGTAAAAAATGAAATGACAAAATTTATGAAAAAAATTGCATCAGTATTTCACGTCGCTTCAATATTAATTGATCAAAATCAAAAATAGCTAATTATGTTTCTCAGATAACTATTCTCAATGTTTATAAGAGTTATTTTTAGAAAACTATAGTTCAGCTCATTTTATTCATTTCCCGGGAATTATTGCACCAAAAACAATCTCAGAACAAGAGTAAATACTGCTCAAACCCAAACCCTTCGAATTCAACTGATAATTGTTTTTGTTTGAACTATTACTGAAAAAATTTCATTCTTCACTATAAATATTATCAAAAGAATCAGTAGTCCTTCTTTGAATATATTCACGGCTGCTAATAAATTTTATTTTTTCACAATTGGGATTCCGACAAAAGAGACTTGATCATTTAGGGTTCCGTATCCGTACAAAATCGGAAAAATCAGCTGCCCTACACAATTGAAAATTTTGGAGCTTGTTGTTGAACTTAGCAAAACCATATTGAACTTTAGTGCAACTATTTTGACCCATATGGTTGCGCAAAACGTTCTTCCGAATCTTGATTATATGATACTAAGAAACAACTTGAACAGAAACACAGTTTTGCTCAAATATTTAACAACTTATTGCACATTCAGCAGAGTTGTACGATAATTTGACCCTAAACCAATTTTTCTGAAAGTTTAAAACTTTTTTAAAATGCATAGCTCTTTTTATGTCTTATTGGCACATAAGGCATTGAATCTTGTTCATCGACCTCTATGGTCCAAAGCTGCCTTCTTTGACAAATTCAGGTTTGACCATCCAAATGCACATCACTCTTCTTTAGCCATTCTTTGCCATGTAATTTCGGGTTTATCTTCCTTCCAGTGTCCAGGTAAGAGCTACTCGAGGTCAGTGGTTGGCAATCTTAAGGAAGGCCCTATCTAAGTCCGCCTCCTAACTTGTTGACTTAACTTTTTTTAAAGTTTCACATTAAAATATTTATCTCCGGAAAAACTAACTATAAGATATATTTTAATGTTAAATTCCTTTAGCATACAAAGTGGACATGTCTGTCATTAATATAAATTTTCTTCTCAATGTTCAGATTTGAATTCTAACGCTAAATTTATATTATCTTTTCTTAAAGTAATGTGTGATTGCCAAACAAATAGTTCTAAAACTTAAACAATCATCACAAGGGTGCTTGGATCTTAGTTCAGATACAAGTACCTGACAAAAGAAAATGTTTAATAAATTTCCACTATTAGAGACTTTGTTTTGAAAATTAAATTCAGATTAGGTTTAAAATTTGCATCAATTTTGTATTGAGGTTAATTAGTCATAAGTTGGATAAACATTAAGTATTTTTCGCAATTTATGTAAAAATGAAAAAAAAAAGAAAAATTTAATCACTAATTTAATTTTTCCTCTTTCTCTTTAAAAGAAATAACGAAAAAAATTGTTTTCTTTTTTTCCGTAATTTTCTTACATGAACTTTGTCAACTATTTAACTTTATTTAAGAGAAATATTTTTGTTTTGATTTATTAATAGCATTATTTACTTATTTTATTATATTGCATTTATTATATTGCATTTATTATATTGCATTTATTATATTGCATTTAAAAACTTACTTTAATTTCAGATTTCCCAACAATGTCTTGCTCAAAGCTCAAAAGAGTTAAACGGATCTATCGATGATTCTAAACTTTACAATATTACAGTTGATGACTTAGAATACTACATTCCACAGGTCAGTTGTTTATGTTATTAGTCCGACATTAGACAATTTTTAAAAGTTAAATCCATTAAAGGTGTTGTTTTAATATTAATCAATTGATGCAAATTTGGACTTTTTTGCTTTGTTTATCTTGAAATACAAGTTAAATTCTCAGGATGTCTAATGTATGAAAGTAACTTGAGATTTTTGCTTTCCATTTTTCAATAAATATAATTTTTAGTTTATAATTATACTTCATTTTAAGTACCTCAAAAAGTGTAATTTCTTAATATGGAAGCTAGTTTTGTAAGAAAATTAGGATTTTAATGGAAAAAAATGTTGTCATAAAAAGTACAGATTTGTGAACTGTAGTATTTTATCATCCACAAATAATTTTAAGAAAAACCGATTGCGGATAAAATAGAATAATATACAAAACTTTCATGAAACAGCTATTATCTGTGCAAGTAAAATATGACTTTAACTAAAAGTTATTTTTATTGTATTCTTTGACATAATATAATTTTTGACAAATATTTATTAAAATATGATGACACCATTTTGGGAGGTAGAATGCATCAGATATTTGAATCGAATCTTGTTTGGCTTTAAGCTGCATATTGCTGCTTTAATGTTATAAACTTAAATTGTCCCTAATCTTTAGTTGCTCTAATGTTCGATTACAAAAATTGAAATCAATCTTGAATGTCATTTCAGATTAAATGGAGCCGATTGATGACGTACGTGTTTAGAAATTTGGGACTTCCAATCGACACTTCCAATCTCTTTGTGATGGTTCATTGCAAGGAATATTTCAGACATCTTGGAACTTTGCTATCGAATACTCCTCCAAGGTCCTTATACAAAGTACATTCTTCTTTCATTGCAATTCCAAAAACTATAGTAGTAAAGTATGAATTTAAATTATTGTGAAAATCCATCTGTTTTTTAATATTGTATTTTAAATATTTTTCTGAAATTGGAAAAAATCAAAACAAATTAGCTATTTTTTAAAAAAAATTGCCAGAACAAGTGATTGAAAATTTTTTTAAATTTTAAACAAAATTTCGTAAAATATTTTTATTTTTTTAAAAAAATTAAGAAAAAAAAATCTTGTTTTACTTACTAAAGTGACTTGGGGCTCATGTAATGTCAAAAATTAATGCAGCATGCGACTCTTTTCTAGTGCATCAGGTTTACGTTTGAAATGCTATGATAATCTTTGAAGTAGGTTTAACAGTTTTGTAGATATAACAATTTAAGAAACAATTGAAAGAAATCATGTAAATTTAATAATAGTTTTTGCACTTAAATTCAAATTTCGTGGAAGTCTACTAAATGAAATTATTGATGCATAGAAATCCAAAATTTATATTAAAATCGTATAAAAATCAGAGTATATTAGTGATAAGAATTTCAGGCTGTATCTATCTTTGTTTAACTTATCATTAATACGTTTTCATGAATGGCCTTGAAAAGTGCTCCTTTCCAATTTCTTCTAATCCGGCGATAAATACAATTTAGACGCTTAGAATAAAAATGATAGATCCCAACCCAATACTTTTTTGAGAAAAAAATAATTACTTGTTTCTGAAATAAATTCATTTTTCAATTCAAACAGAATTTAAATGTGAAATATGGGCTGTAAAAATTCCAGATCAAATTACGGTATAAAGTACGGGAACTTTAACTTAAAATTGGTATAAAGTATCCATAGAATCCCTTTTTACCATAAAATATTATACCATAATTTTATAGTAATATTTATTTGAATAGAATGATTCAATTATTTTACTGTAAAAATTTCTGTTTATAAAATTTTTTGTTCCGTAACATGTTTCAATAAAAATGGATTTTACGGTAAAAAGTATCGGCATACTGAGTGCTGGCCCTTTACCTTAGTTTGATGTAAGAGTTTTTACAGAGTGGGCTTTAATACTTCAGCAAATGAAATGTAGATGGGTGGAGTATACGGTCATACATTTATTTCAAAATTCGAGGTCAGTTGAGATTTGCCGTTTTTATTCTGAGAGTCTTACTTATCAAATAATAATAGTGTGTATGTCCTGCAACACTCAAAACATTACTTTTTTAAATGAGATATTAATTGATGGGGTTAGCTATAGTGAGCCAATTAAAATTTCAATTTAAATTTGAATGCTGTTAATGAAAATGAAAACATGTCAAGTCTTATAACTAACTTGTATATCTTTCGTCACATAAAAGAACTTTAGCTAACTACATGTCGTGGAAGTTTGTTTTAAGTTACATGTCTTTCATGAGCATGCCATTTCGTCAAATATTTCAAGATTACACTCTGCTGACGCCTGAGTTGAAGCACTCAAAACTGAAAACATACACCTCACGATGGAAAGGCTGTGTGAGTCTTGTTGGATCATGGTTTGGAAAGGCGATTTCAGCGTACTATGCAAAACAAGGATATCCTGTAGATGTAGAAAAGAAGGTAAATATTTCATCACATTTTTCTATTATTTTTTTAAGTCTTAGCATTTTTTTAAGTCTTAACATATATGCTTTCATCATGGTATGAATATATTCAATGTTTGAAGATATGCAATGTATGAATATATGCTATACATATATGCTATCATCAATGTACCGTATTCTAAATAATGCCAGACTTTGAGAACTATTATATGCTTTGCCAAGTCATTGAATAAAATGCATGAGCGTATTTTATTATTCTATAAAATTCCTAGGTAATGAGTGAATTACACTAAGGAACAAATTTTTTGTTTCATTTATGCAAATACTTGATATTGCCCAACTCGGATATGGGAATTTCAAATCTGAAATTAGTTTTGCCTCTAAAGCTACAGGTTTTTCTAAAAATGGCATTTTTAGTCTAATTTTTTGTCAAAATGTACAAGTTTAAAAAAGTTATGTATAACAGGGAGTCATAACTTTCTTAAACTTGTACATTACGTATCAAAGGGAGTTAAGGAACATCAACAGGATTAAAACTTCATATAAACCCATGCCTGGAAATGTTGTCACAGGTGCTAGAGGAAGGGATGCTTCTCTATCAAAGCAAAAGTGCACAAAGAAATAATTCATAATAGGGAATCGCACCTAGCTGCAAATGACCACTTTTTCGGACACGGGTTTCTATGCAATTTTATTCCTGATGATGTGCCCTGACTCCACTGGGGGTTCCGCGTTCGGCTGACCACCTGACCGGAACATATGCTCCTGCACCCCAGAGCCCAAGGTCAAGAAAACTGAGATGGGCACAGTCGGCCTTGGCCCTCTTAATTGGCTGTCGCGCCACTGAGTTAGTTTTTTAGTGCCCTGACTCCCCTAGATGTTTTTCGCAATATATATCCATCCCCCCTTTTATATGTAACATTTTTAAACCCTTACATTTAGACAAAAATAGACTAAAAATATAATTACATAAAAAAAGCTCCGAATGTAGGGACGAGAAACTTAACTGGTTGAACAAACCGTCCAAAATACTTTTTTAGGATAAAAATTAGATGATCTGGTCTATGATCTATTACAATTTAAAGACAATTAATAAATTTTAATCAATGACACTAATATGATTTGATGCATTGTCATCTCGATTCAATAAACTTTAAAAACAAAATACACTTTGAAATGCATATTTTTTGTTGTTTAAAACGCATTTTTTTTTTGTTTAAAACGTGTAGCCATTTGCATGGTAGTCATCCTACCATACTTTAATGCGATTTTTGTTACTTTAAGGCAAAACAAATCGTTGCATCTCTTAAGGAAACTTTCATCGACATAGTTAGCAACACTGCTTGGCTAGACGAGGAATCCCGAAACGTCACTATTGAAAAAGTGCGTATTAAATATATTTCATATTTTTACATACATTTTGTTGAAACTTACTTCATATTGTTAGGTTGTTGTCTATTTAGATTTTGGCGATGAAAACTGAAGTTGGATATCCTCGTCACATGCTCAATTCGGATTTTGTCGAGACTTTCTATGCAAAAGTAAGTAAATATTGTTCGTTCAATGGAGATTAGTGAAGACACTAGCATAATTTTTCCAAAAGATTTTAAATTTCACCCAGTTTGAACATCTGTTTAAAATTATATAAACGTTTTAGACATTCATCACAAGAATAGACCAAGCTACTTATCTTAGGCAAAAATCAAAAAAGTAATATTAAAAAATATTTTTCAATTTTTACATTCAAATTTACTGACTTCCCAACACGTTCAAGTGATAGATACTAAAAAACAGTATAATATGCTTTTATTAATATTTTTCTGAGAATACTATTTTTACAGCATTTTAACCCTTAGACTCAGAATTTTTATTAAACATATTTTTCATATTTATTCAAAGAAGTCAAAAATACCATATTTCGCATTTCAGCAATTTATGGGTGCGAAATAAAGTATGAAACACTGGTGTCTTTTTCTGGTTTGAAGGCAAAATCTTCCAAACAATAATTTTTAAAATTTTCAATTAATTGCAGTTATTTATAGCTAAAAGAAGCAGTTATTCACCGTTGAAATTTCTTTAATTTATAAAATAAATTATTGATAAATTTCTGAATATGAATGAAACAAAAATTTCAAACCAAATCTTTGGGTTTTATATTTTAGTTAAATATAATTCCGATAATCTATTAGTAACTATTGGACTATTTTTTTATTAAATACCAAAACATATTTTTACTTCTAATTCGAACGTCAAAAAAGAAAAGCGACACCGGTGTTCCATCTACGTCGAAGCATTTAAATATCTGATTTCTTGTGTATATTTCAGTTGGAACTATCAACGGACAGTCTGTTAAAAAATATGTTGAAAATGAGCCGATTTTTAGTATACAACGAACTGCAAAAATTAAACAGACCAGTTGAAGATAACCCACCTACGGTGGATAGGTATGCAATGCTTTACTACTTTTTAATGTTATTCAGGACATTATTTTTTAATAGATTTTAAAACAGTTTTAAATAGATCATAAAATGACATTTAATAGGTTTTTCAGACGTTGTTATTCTTACATTAAGTATAAAGTATTTAAATTCGAAAAGCGTCACCCGATAGATTTATAAGAATTTATAGAAGAACCAATGTATGATATTTTTAAGTGTTATTTAACATAAAATGTTTTTGTAATTTTGGATTTTTTAAGTAATATAAGCTGCTTAATTATTATGTAAGTATTTTAATTTTTATGAAGTAAGCATAAATACCATTTTATCGTTTTTAAACTTTATTAGATTTCTTAAACATTATATTTTTGAATCCTCATCAATTTTCTTGTTAAAAAGTCATTAAAAATATTTAAGGACGGAAAAAAGTAATTTGAATTTTGTAAAAAATTTGCACAAGTACTTTTAATATTTTTAAAAATTCACAGATCGTATTGAATATTTATTGAAAATAAATATAAGTTTAGATATTATAATTTTTATCATTGCCGCTAAAACCTTAAATAAGCAGTAATACAGTCAGGAAATCTCAGAATGCCCCTGTGGTTTCGTAGTTTAGCTCATGATTAGTGGTTTAGACCTTAATCACCAGCGTAGGATATTTCAGAAGAGCTTCTACATACCCTGAGAAAAAAGTATGGTTAAAACTACCAGAATATAGTAAAACTTACCATATATTTGTCTCTATAGATACACAAACAAGCTCGGTAATTATTATAGTAGCTCTTTGGTAATGATTTTGATAAATTTAACAATAAAATGTGGTTTTATAAATTGTGATAAAAATAGGAAATTGCTGCGAAATTCGTAAATTTTATCATGATATCTTAGAGCTTGGTCTAAAAACTATTTATTCGGTTAAATTTATTTTCAGTTTTTTTAAATTTTTTTCCTAATTGTGGGGTCATGAAAATAATAATTTTGAAAACCGGAATGTCCGATAAATCATCACCATGCGAATGGAAAAAATACCAAATGTATGGCTTATGGGGCTTACATACCACATGCTTTAGTTTCAATAACCAGAATAAATTTTTTTACCAGAAATGTCATCACTATACAGTATAGTAATTTTACCAAGTTTTTTTTCTCAGTGTAAATAAAAAAAAGCTTAGATAAGAAAAACTTATATTAAAAATATTGAAATAATTTAAAAACCGGAATAAGTCAAAACCGGAATAGCACAAACCTTCTAATCGCATGAGTTAAAATAGCTTGCTCGTGGCAGAAAATGCTGTCAGTTCATGAAATATACACCGTAAAAATTTCTTGACAAAATTACGGTAAAAGTACTTTATACCATAAAATCCATTCTTACTGGAAAATGTTACGGAAGAAAAAAACAGATATACAGTAATTTTTTCAGTAATAACTACCGTAAAATCACTGAATCATTCTAATTAAATAAATATTTTTGTAAACTTTATGGTGTAATGTTTTAAGGTAAAAATTGATTTCACGATAAAATGGATTATATGAATAATGCATCTGAAGTGCGGATATTTTATACCGTAATTTCATCCGGAATTTTTAAGAGTGTGGGGGAAGTGGAGAACTTAGTAAAATTATTTATGTAAACAATAAATTCTTCCATATCATAATGATTTAATTTTAATTTTTTGATTTATCAGTGTGTACAAAGGTCCACTTCAAGGAAATGCTCATTACTTTGCTACTAAAAATGCATTAGGTAAGCAAGTAAACTTAATTAAAGGACATTATACTTTGATTTTGTTTTAAATAAAACAACGATGTAATTCTTATTACTAATTTGTTTTATTTCTTTGTTCGAAAGTTGTCCCAATGGGAATCATAAGACCGCCAATTCTAGATATAGAAAACCCAGAGTAAGTAATAATCTATTTTTTTAAATTTTATTTTAATATGTGTATAAAGAATCAAATTAATTTTACTTTATGAGTATTTGCATGCTTTTAATACTCGAGTGGAAATTAATAAGTATATTATTTTATTTTTATATAAGTTGATGTAGATTAATCCTTTTCACAGATACTTGAATTATGGTAGACTTGGTAATGAAATTGCTCATGAAATGGCTCATGCGTTTGACAATATTGGTAAGAATTGGATATAATTTTTCATTTTATTTGAGTTCAACCAAGAATAACCTCACTTTTATCATAGTTTATTCAATTCAATACTGAAAATTTCCATTGTTTTCAAGTCATTGGAAGTTTTTCATTGGCTTAGCGGAAGCCATTGCTTTAAAATAAATTATGGATGATTTAGCTTTGTCAAAAATGTTAAAGATAGCATCAGTAAAATTTTCTAGCTTATAGCTCTCATAAGAAAAGTTTATTATTGCGAGTTCAGCAATACTTAATTATTTTTTATTCCTTATTCGGTAGTAGGAAGGAGGAAATTAATCGGGCGAAAAGTAAGCTACTAATTATCTAAAACAACTCGTGGGGGCAGATTTCATACATTCCTGAGATGGTAACAGCAAATAGCTTCTTTCCAAGAGAAGGTATTACAAAAGAAAGAAAGTAAAATCATAACAGTTCAAAATATATTAGTTTAACGTAAGGGCTTTCTTTATAGTTTCTGTTAATATTCAATTAGTGTAATAAGTTAAAAATTAAAATTTCCTCCATTATTGGAAGCATCTTTAACCGATTTTAAAACAAAAGACGCTTTTGCTTTTTTTTTTAAGGAAAATATTTGATTATCTGTGCCAAAGTTTTGCATAGGTTTATTTCGCAAATCATTTACTTTGAATGTACGTTAATCATAAAATTATGTGACAATGCACTATTTCTTAGTCTCATTCAAAAATATAGACTGTTATAACAAGGCATATGGTCGAGAAAACAACATAAAATTCACGAACAAAGTATTACAGGGTGTCCCAAAACGACAGCATAAACTCTGCACAGCTAGATTCCACGTTGGGAGTACATAAAAACTGCTCAAAGAAGCTTACCTGTACGATCCATAGTTTACGAGTAAAATACGAAAAACAAAGTATGACGTCACTGCCGGTGCAAGAAAAAAAACACTTTATTGGACATTCCACGGCATGCTCAAGCCTGTCTCGACATGCACGGTGGACACTTTGAACATCTGCTTTAAATTGTGCATAGTACACTATTCAATAAGGTGTTTTTTCTTGCTCCGACAGTGACGTCATACTTTGTTTTCCGTTATTTTTCTCGTAAACTATGGATCGCACAGGAACGCTTCTTTGGGCAGTTTTTATGTACTCCCAACGAGAAATCTAGCTGTGCAGAGTTTATGCGGTCGTTTTGGGACAACCTGTATATTGAAAATTAAAAAAAAAAAATCATTTTTTGTATTGTAGAATAAAAACAATGTCATATAATATTTTTAAAAAAATTGCTGATTGTTAAAACAAATAGTGAGATTAATATTATATGTAATAGTTTTTAGTAAATGTTTCAGATGGTTAGCGATGTATTGTTTTCTTTTTTGCCCCTTTGGTGGATTTATTTCGTATCATTTGTTAATCTTTTTACATTAGGTCTCCAGTATGACAAAAATGGAAAAGAAAGTGATTGGTGGAGTGAAGAGATGAAAAACAAATTTTGGATGAAGGCCAAATGTTTTGTTGAGCAGTACAATAGATATGTTATTGATGCTGCGACAGAAAAAAATGTAAGTGCTACTACACCTTCAAATAATATAGAAAAATAACTTTTTACTGATAAAATAATACTTACAGTATCTTTAATTTAGACTACTTTGTATTTAGAGCATTTTATATATATATAGTATTTACAGAATTATGAACTTAATACTGAATTGATAAAATAGTTTTCTGTCTTTAGTAAATTTTATTTATCGAAAGACTACGTTGAATGCAAGGTTTTATTTGATTCTGTTTAAAAAATTGCAGCTCTAAAAAAAGGGTTAATTTAAATGTAAATATAAATAAAAATGGCTTAAGTAGGGGAGAGTGGGGTCAATTGTAGCATTATTTACTTAACTATTTTTAACTAACAAAAAATCCAATATATTATTAGTATTAATTGGCAGACAAGTAAAGTAGACTATCCTCTACTAGAAAAAAAGTAAATACCTTATTTTAAATGTTATTGTATTAGTTATTAACAATTTTTGACAGTCGTGCAGTTGTTACAATTGTCCCCACTTACGGGGTCAATTGTAACAGTTCATAAATTCAACTAAAACATAGTTAATTATTCATATTATCATAGTTGTGATATATTTTTTTATTGATCAAAATAGTAGTGATATTTTAGGAGTAAAAATAATAATGAGCAGAAACCTAAAGGGTTAAACTTTTAACTTTAAGGGGTTAAAAATTTTAATTTATGCTGTGAAAGGTGACAAATAAAATAATGCACATGCAACATAATATAAATGATATAGGAAACTATTGGTGGTTCTTAAAGAGTTAAGTAATGGTTTGTAAACATAAGAAATGGGACCTAAGGGGTTAAACAATTGCAATTGAAATTATGAATTTTATTTTCAGCTGTTACAATTGTCCCTTTACTTATCGCTACAATCGTCCCCAAGACGTCATTTCAGCTTCATTTGTTAAAAACAATGCTAGTTAATTAACAAAACAAATCTTTTTTTTTTTGAAATGTTAATTAAGGTGTCCACTTACATATTGGGTTAATAATTTTCATTTGTTTAAACGAAATTACTTTGTTACAATATAGTATTCTAATACCAAAAAAAGTACTTACGTAGCGTGAAAATATCTTTTGTGATGTAACACTTTCAAAAGTACATAAAAATGGTTGCCAGCAGGGGTGTACCTGTAGATTTATTAAATACACCTTGTGCGCTACCTAGGAACCAAATCTAGAACACGACACTCGAAATTTTTGCTCTGTTACAATATTACCCTGTTACAATTGATCCCACTCTCCCCTATGTGGATCAGAAAACAATTTTTCCAAAACTCCGATGACTGGGCAATTTAGAATTATTGCAACCAACACATAGGATAATAAAAACTAATAATTACGCAAAATATATTAAATTAACTATATTAAATTAACTATATTAAATTAACTATATTAATTTAACTATATTAAATTAACTATATTAAATTAATTATATTAAATTAGCTATATTTTCCAGGTAGATGGCCAACGAACACTTCATGAAAATATAGCAGACATTACTGGTTTAAAAAAAGCATTCATGGTAAATAATTTATCTTATATTTATTTAAAACAGTTTTGATAATTAATAAAGTGTGCAAACCAATTGGACAAGTTAGTTTAATTATATGTTTTTAGACCTAAACATATTTAAACTATAAAACAATGTCTGAGACAAATATTTTAAGATTTATTTCTTAGTGGCATTGGAAGCTTTATTTCTGTTGAAGACATGATGAATTCAACAAAGTATTTATTAATGCATACGCTTGTTCCATATATGATTCAGATTTTACATGAATTAGCATCATCTTGTAATTCAAAACATATGACATTCAGACATATGTAATAACATTCAGACATGTGTAATGACAAACCAAAATGATGTTTGATAAGCAAGGAAACTCACTAGGCAAGAAACCAATTGAGGGACAATATGAAGAGACGTTTTGATAAGGTGAACTGTTCAAAACAAAATGTAATTGTTTAATAATGCTGTAATAGTCACGATTCAATATTATAAAATCAAGAAAGTGTGCACAAATCATATGGAATCAATGTAAGAAAGTCTTCAAGTCACTATAGAGGAGACCTAATGCATTTATCAATGTAAATCCAACTCCGTAGCCTTGTAATTTTGAACCCAATACAGAAGACAAATGAACTCCTGGATCAAGTATTAGGAGAAATTTGCCTTCGAGGAGGACTTTTTGAGGGAACTAACCCGCATTTGCGCTCAATGGAAAGGAAAACCACAGAAACCTCCCACTGTTAGCCTAACGGCAAGGGAAATCTAACCCATGATTCATCTATCAATGAGGATATTCTTGTGCTCTTTGCCAGATGGCAACGCAATCTTGAATACTTTCCTGATCACTGCAAGAATAATTTATGGCCATTTTACTGCTAAGTAGAATCTATCGCCAATCAAAATTTTTAGTGCCTTCTGACTAGCAAGAGTGATCAAATCTGAACTGGAGATCCATGTCTGCAGGCAATATACGTTTTTATCTTTTCTTGACCTCTACAAGCAAAATATACATCTCAGTAGTAATTGTTGATCACGTCCAGGCAATTTCTGACTAGCTAGAGTACTTAAATTTTAATGATGACCTAAAATCATTTCCAAAATGTAGCAAATGAAATTTTTTGCCAATCATAATTTTGACCGCTTTTTGGCATCGACAAACTATTACGACATAAAATTAATTAAGTAGAAAATGAAACAAATACTTTAAGCTAGCGTAAAAAATATTTATTGTTAAAACTGAAGTTTAAAAAATAAATATTTTAAAAATTCCTCAAGAGGATTTTTTATATGAAACTAAGACGAGGAATTTAGGATGTATGTATACCTTCTGCCTCTTCTTTCGGAAGTGATGTGAGTTAGATTTTAGTCATGACAAAAATCTTTATCTATATCAAAAATCTATTATCTTTATCATATTATCCACTAAATATTTTTTAAATTTTTTAAACTTTATTTTGTAACATTAACATTTATTTTCATTTATGGTGAGGCTCATTTGTCTATTTAGATTTCGCATCAAACTTCTTTTGCTTTTTAATAATTTTATGTTTTTTTATTAATTTTAGAAATATTTCATTTTTTAAACTAACTTTTACACAGTTAATTGCATTTTAGTCCTATCAAAGGTATGTTAAGCAATATGGAAAAGAACCAAAATTGCCAGGAATGGAATTTACGAATCAACAACTCTTTTTCATTAGTTTTGCACAGGTAAGCAATTATAAGTGTGAAATAATATTACATTATAAAATTAAATTAATTAATGAATTTATAATTCTATAGAATGCCAGCATTTTAAATTTATTAACATTACATAACTTCAACACCTTGGCTTTAACAGAAAGTTAATGTATTTTTTTTATTGTCAGAATATTTTATCTATTTATTCTTTGTTTATACATTTGTTGTCACATGTTTATACATTTTTTTAAAAAATGTTTATGTTTTTAGTGACATATAAAGTCGTAACTCTTATTTCAGAAATTGTGTACCTGAATGCTCAATTTAACCACTGAACAATCTTATTACTTTCAAGAAAAGGGTCATAAAAGTGCCTATTTTTTTATTCAAGAAAATTATATTAAAAAGGCTCATGTACTATTTGTATTAATTTTTGATTTTCGGAATTTTTTTAAGATATTCAGATGTACTCCTTATGTCCATGTAACTCTGACTCCATAATGTACAAAATATTAAAAAATATTTTTTCACAAGACAGAAACCATGTGTATTCACAAAGAGTACAAGCAGCTGAATTAAGAGTACGAAACACAAATCATGAACGCATATATTTGGATAGTGATGATATTTAGTTCAAAATTAACTCTCTCCGGTTACTTTAATAATCGTCTGGTGCAGCCATCTAGTGTGTAAAATACGAAATAAAAAAATCGGGGCAGAAGAGATGGATATATTTAAACCTTTTCAGTGCACTACTTTTGAATGATCTGGCCCGGAAATAACGCGGGGACGAGAAATAGGCACCATGGGGTAGATGAAAGCTCACCGCGTGATTTTGATAGGATTGAGAGGGAAGGGGTTCCTACTTGTTTACCGACTGAAGTACATTTTAATAAGTCATTTTTTTATACAGGCATTTCTCACCATACTGTTAGGAACATTTTAAGCTATTGTAGTCAAATGATACTCTTATTTCAATACCATTAAAGTATAATCATCTGATGAAATTTTCAATTTTTTTAATCTAATTTTTAATCAAAGTTGTTATTTAGAAAATTATCAAAATTGAATTAAATATTTGATTAAATTAAATAATTTGTTTTAAATATTATTTCAATCAAACTTTTCGACCTTGAGTTATTATTCTCACCGGTTCAAGGAAATATATTGAAATTTTCATCAAAATAATTTTTAATTTTTCTTACGTCATTTTAGTTACACGAAAAACAATTCCGGATCAAATTACGGTTCAAAGTACCGGCACTTTAAGTGCATCATCCACAAAACCCAATCTACCGCAAAGTCCATTTTTCCCGTAAAATATTGTACCGTAATTTTTACAGCAATATTTATTTAAATAGAATAATTCAGTGATTTTAGGGTAATTATTACTGTAAAAATTACGGTATGTCAGATTTCTTTCAGTAACATTACCGTAATAGTACCGGAACTTTGAGTGCCGGTACTTTCTTCCGGAATTTTTTTCGGAGTAATGTGTTAATATCTAATGTATTCATGTTTTTTATAGATGAAGTGTGAAGTTAGAAACAAGGAAGGTTTCCAAGAATATATCGGAGACTCTACATCAACACTTCTTCAGACGCCTTTGAAATACAGGTAAATTTCATTTGCTTCATAATATTTTTAAAATTACATTTTATTTATATATATATATATATATATATTGTCACGTAGAATAAATAGGACTTAGTCTATAAAGTACGAGAGCTTTATTCAACACCTACAAAGTAACGTGAACAAAGTAACTGGGGCCTCGGCTTGAGACACTCAGTCTTTTATAGGAATAATAACAGGAAGTGATAGGAACAGGAAATGATATGCTAGAACATTCTAGAAACTTCTAGAAGAAACATAAATAATAAATAAAAGCTTATTTTNTATATATGTCTTTTCATCAATTTAAATTTCCTTTGATGCATAAAAGTCAAGACTCAAACTTTTCTAAACTTATTCTCTAATGTTCTGAAAAACATAAACATGGGCTTAATAACACTTTCAGAAACTAACACATTCAATAAAAGAAATATCATCAAAATGTCAATGAAACGTAAGAATTAGTTTTCAGTGCATAATGATCTGTAACATTAGATACATAAAAAATGCGTACATGCATAAAATTTGAATCTAAGTAGCATTAGTTTTATTTAAACTAATATTAAAAATTCGTATTTACACCGAGAATAAAAGTATGATCAAAACTACTAGAATGTGTAAAAATTTACTTTGTTTCTGGCTCTATGGGAACACCAAAAAACTCGGTGAATTTTGCATAATTACTATAAGCCTTGATTTCGGTATTCAAAAACCAAAAGTCATAATTTTGAAAACCGGAATATCCGGTAAACCACAACAATATAAAGGGAAAATTTTACAAATTAATGGCTTATATACTGTAGATATAGGTTTTATTAACCAGAATTACGGGTTTTTTATACCAGAAATGTCATTACCATATAACATTGGTAAATTTACCAGAATTTTTTTCTCCTTGTCCAATTGTGAATTTTGTCTACTTCCTTAAGTTTGAAGAATTCTCAAAAAAGCTTTATTTCAAAGCAATCAGGCAGACATTCATCCTAATTACAAAAAACTTTTATTGAGGGAAAGAATTTAAAATGATAGAGAAAAAAAAGCAAGACAAAAAACAGGTATTTCATACTATACAAGTTTTGAAAAAATTTGTAAGCGAACAGGATGTTTTGTGAAAAAAAATAGCAGACATAGATCTGCAAGTTTTTGAACTCAAATCTTTGTCAATAAAAACATTTCCTTATTATTATTATCATTTTGAGGAAAATTAATATTTTTAAAACAAAAAAAGTTATTTTCTTGGTAGATTCAGAATAGAAGAAAGCATAAACTTTTTATATACTTTAGTTAAACTGTTAGAATTTTTATTCCAAAATTATGGTAAAATAACCGACAGCAGTCTATCTATCCAACTAACCGTAAAGTTTACGGTTAATAATATTTCTTACTTTTGCAGTTTTGAAACCATTTGCAACTAGTATGGTGAAAAAAACCAAGAATACGAAATTATGCGCTTTTTAACCATTTACCACAAGCATGGTTTTAAAACCATAAAAAAGGAAATATAACTGGACACTGAAGAGATATGCTTTTCATAAAGTAATAGTCATTGTAGTTATATTGCGGTTTAGTTTTGCTTTATCAAGACGAAATATTGTGGTGTCAACGCTGGGGAATTTTTATCTCAATATTAGTGTTTTGATATCGGCGATATAACATCGATGATTTGCATTATCTTATCGATTAAGATACCGATGTTTTGGGCCAGAACTAAGAACTGATTAAAAAGTAATGACGCTTGAATAGTTTAACTGCTCCTTGAATGCATGTTATTAATTCTTTTTCGCTATCGGCATTTTTATATCATTGATCAATGTTTTGAATCATCACACAGGTAAAAATATCGATATTTTAAATATATACTCAGTTTCAAGGAACTAAGTCGCTTCTAGTTGGTGCTGGGAAATTCTGGTTGTTTAACCGTATCAGTTGAAAGCAATTAACAGTTTGGATACCATTTTGTTTATGTTATTTGACTGTTTTGTTTGAATATAGTAAAATAACAATTAAACAAATTGTCATTCAACCATTTTTCCTGAAATATTTCCAACACTGTAGTACAAGATTTATAAGGATACAATTTGTTAGTACTTCTCTTTGACAAGATCTCTATCACCATTAATTTCATTTCAAATAATAGTATCTAATTTTAGTATTAAACATATTGAGTTTGATTTCGTTGCTGTTTTGTTTAGTTACTTTTATTGTAATATTTTTATTCTTTATTACAGAGTTAACGGAGCTCTTGCAAACTCTGAATTTTTTGCTGCTGTTTTTAAATGTCCATCAGGTAGTCCTATGAGCCAGGCAAAACGATGTTCCATATGGTGAATCAATGCTTCGCTTTTTAAATTATGTTTTTAGTCTTGTATAAACATTTCAAATTTGTCATGAAATGAATGTTGTCTCAATAAAGTATTATAATACTTATTTTTGTGATGTAATATTTCTAATTAGGTACCTTCAAAAATGTAATGAAACATATTATTAAAATCATTCAAATATTTCTCAGAAAGTTGCAGTTGAATTATATGTTAAGCGACTACATGTTGCAATTACTGATATTATTTGAATACATACGCACTTTTTCAATAGCAAATGAAATGTGTTAGATTGTAACCATTAAAATTTAACTTTATTGAAAAGGAACTTTTGCTTTATATATTTTTTTTTGCTTCTTGAATTCTGAGTGGAAACAATAAAAATAAGAAAATACAACGAAGCACTTGAATACGGTTAGAAAACTCTCGAAAAAAAAGAAAGATTTTTTTAAAAACTTTTTATGCTTTAATTTCAAACAAAAATTTCAAATAACCATTAATAAGATGGTATTCAAACTGTTAACTGAGAGAAAAAACCGTTTATTAACTGTTTTCACCTAATACGGTTAAACAACCCGATTTTTATCACACTAACAAGGCCCACCTAATGAAGCTACTTAGTTCCTTGCAAAAGGTGTATATTATAGCCGAGAAGGCTAATCTGCCACTCTCATGTTCGACCGAGCGGGGGTTTAAGTATCAGTGTTGAAAACACAATATTCCCTTTATTCCCTTCAACACATGTGAAGTTTCTAATGATCTATTGTGACCCTGGACTATTAGAATAAGATACTCTCATTCACGCATAGATGGCAGCCCCCATAGAACTGGCAAATTGTTTACAATGTCCAAATTAATTTTTTTTTTTGCGGTTTTAAAACCATGCTAGTTGTAAATGGTTAAAAATCGTATAGTTTTATATTCATGATTTTTAGCCATACTAGCTGTAAACGGACCAGTGTTAAAGCAAAAAAGTAACAGAAAAAAGTGTTCTTTATCATAAACTTTACGGTTAATTGGACGGTAGATGGCCGGTTATTTTGCCATAATTTTAGAAAGAAAATTCGAACTGTGCAGATTGAGTACCATGAAACTTGTTTTATTGCGCTCCGAGTGAATATATTTAGTTAGAATAATATGTTTCTATGGTTGTTACCGCAAGATTACCGTTGATATACACGTAAATAAATAAATGTTTATTGCCTATTACGTTTATACAACTGTAGTACTAAATTTTCTAATTTAAAATCTTGCTACTCTTTTTTCTCAAACTTAACTGTTTTTTAATGGCATATTGATGAAAAAATTACCATATTAATGTATAATAGAATAATAAAATAGTCTTTAAGGAAAATGAAATCTTTCTTGCATTATTTGTAGTGGTTAAATAACTCGATAGAGTATAATAACTGGGTATAGTAAAATATTGTTAGATTTGCATGCTTTGCTATTTTTCCTGTATATTAGATAATATTTAAAAATTAATAAAAATTTATTTAGTTGAAAAAATGTAAACCTGAGAGTGCAAATTAATTGTATTTTAATGTATGCAAAATTGTGGCTTGCAAAAATAATCGAAAAATTTATGGTACACAGCTTTTCCCTATTTAAAAAATTAATATTGCATTTAAAATAGTTTGCGATTTCTACAGTCAGGGCATTGTCAGGACATCTTTTTCCTTATATTTCCGAGAAAGAGTGAATTTTTAATTTCAAATCTTTTCAAAATAAATAATACGATTAAAGAACGTTCGCTCGAGAAAATAGTATACACTCAGTATACACAGAATTATACGCACCAGATAAACAGTTTAAATCATTTTTCAGATAACAACGTAATCATCTCCTTCCAAATATTCGACTTGTAGTTTTAGAACTTGAATTATAATACATTTTTAATGGTAAAATAATTAATTACAAAGCAAAAATTTTTTCTCAAACAAACAGTTACATTCCTGTTTAATTTAAAATGCAGAAATATTTTGAAAATTTAACCTAATTTTTTTTTCTTTATGCATAATAAAGATGGTATATCATTCAGAGTATTTTTAATTTTTGTATACCTGAAAATTAATTATTTCTAAATAAAAAAGCAAAACACTTAAAAAAAATCTATGAATCAATCATTTACTCGAACTCGTGGCTTTAATGTTTGCACAGTATTGCTAAATATATACCAAGTTGTCTCTGAGTATAAGAAATTAGATTCTAATCAGATTCTGATTAATTCCCTGACTGGTTCAAATATTCATCTTTACACTTCCAAGAAAGTTACATGATGCATTTCAGCATTTTATCTTTTCATAGTTCAGGGTTATTAAAAATGTCTCAGCATTCTCAGACCCATAAGAGTCTGGATAATCTTTTTTTTAAATTTAGAAATTTTGCTGTCTGTAGATAAGACGACAAACGTGATGTAACTAATGCTTATGACTCACGAAGAGAAAGACAGGTAGGGAAAAAAGTAGGACAGCAAAATTTACCCCTTCTGTCAACGAGCTTTCTGAATATTTAGAACATTGAACAAACTGTATTTTATGGATAATGCTAATAATAATGTAACGATCAGTGCTTTCACTTTAATGGATCACGCAGAAAGCACTATATTTCACCTCTCAGTAACAGCTAATTTCAGGAAATTCAGAATTTTTAAGCAAAAAAAGTAATTTTTCTATAAAAATGCTCATATTTCCATGAATATTTAAGCTAGGCTTAAGAAATTTCGTGCAGTTATTGCATAATCGTAAAATAATTGCAAAAAAATAAAAATAAATAAATAACTGATGGATAAATAGTAGTTAAATAATTGTATAAAATAATTATTTCGAGTTAAAAGCATATTGCTATATGTTTTGGTATAGGGTGTTCAAAATCATCTTCTAAAGTTATAAAATGATTCTCTCAGTGTTTCTTGAGAAATATAAATGCGTAGAAGTGTTTCCATAATTTTAATTTTGATAATTCCATAATTTTAATTTTGGTAATTTTAATTCCATAACTGTGTATAAGCTTTTTCCATTTTAAGAGCTCAAAACAGTAAATAAAATACATAAATAGTAAATAAAATACACACATAAATACATAATTCTATTTTGAATTACCAGTTTTAAAAATAATTTAAATTATACCACAATTCATGTAATTAAACTGTGATAGTTATAATATTAAAATCAGATTTAAGAAAATACAGTTCTTGAGTAGTAATTTTTTAAAACTTGACATAACTTAAAGCTAATTATTTTTTTTAAATATTTCTTAATCATAGGTGATACATCCTCTATTTGTTTAATGGAAACGATCGCATCAAAATAGCAAAAGAGTCTAATGTGATATAAAACAAATATCAGTGCCCCCCCCCCGACTTTCTGGTATCGTCAATTTATCCCATTCTAAGTTGGGTGAAATAGCATAATACTGAGAATCTTCAATAAAAAGAAACAGTCTAGAATATTCTTTGCTATATAAGGTATTTAAACCGGATCTTATCTTCTGCGTAGTTTACTGCGTAGTATTAATTTTTTTAAAATTCCTGAAGGAGTAAAAAGCATAACTGATACAAAAGCCGAACCACGAATTTTTAAAATGTTTCAACGACAAGGGATCGTATTAGGTAAGTACTAAACAACTAATTAATTATTTTCCAATTTTATTCTAATTTATAAATCAATATATTTCGAAAAGCGAGTTTTAATTGTTTTAGTAGCTAATATTAGCCATTTTATATTCGAATGAATAATAAAATAAAAAGCAACACCTTCAGAAAAATAAATTAACTTTCAAAATGATTCATGCTCAAATACTTCCTTTAGTGATTTTGCACTTTTTTTGGAATACTTAAACTATTTCAATAAAAAGTACTCTGCCAGAATAGATATTTATAATCGCGTAAAAGAAAGCAAAAAAAAATTAAGGTAGAAAAGAAAACTAGTTAAAATCATTAAATTTTAATTTAATGAATTTAATTAATTAATTTATTTAATTTAATTAATAATTAAAATAAATTTAATTAATTTTATTTTAATTTAATTTTTAATTTACTCACAAACCTGTACTAATTTTATTGCTTTGAACTTCATCGAATATTTTTTCCTAATTTAAAATTTAAAATAATGTAATAAATGTTAAATCTGAAAAAAAATGCAATTTGTTTTTCTTTTTAAATTGTACACAGCAGAAAGTTATTAGATATATAATAAATTGCGATGAAGACATGCATCAGTTTCCTTTTTTCATTATTTTCTCATAAAAGTTGCCTGCTCTGCTTTCAGTAGCTGCATATGTCAAAAGTATTCATTTCTATACGAAAACTGTTAATTCCCTTTTTACTTTGCGAATAACGCATTTTTTTTTAAATTTAGAACTTATTCATTTAAATATTTTTTTCCTACTATACTCCAAGTTTTAGATAAATATAAATTATATTAATTTCGAAACCTTTCAGAACTTGTTGAAGCATCAAATATTTAAGACTTGAATGCGAGGAAATACTCTCTCAATACAAGCACAGTTGACATGAAATTGTTTGGATTAATATTTGTGTATTAAGCATATAAAAAAATTGAGGCATTGCAGATTTAATTTCAAAATTACTGCACGCTACACACAAACAATCTGAAAAGGATCAAATTGCCCTCTTAAGTTTTATTGTTTTAAATCTATGGGCAAATGTGGTCTTAAGATAACGAAATAAAATATTTTAGGATCTGCCTAAACACTACGTATTTACATTGTTATCATAAGTATCAAATTTCAAAACATACTATGTTACTTTACATTATTTCTTCGTGTTTTAGTATTTGAAGTTATTTTGATGGTTTTTTGGAATGTAAAAGGTGAAAGTGATCTTTATGATGGTCCTTTTTTGGCTTGTTCAATAAAGGTTTCACATCAATGTAAGTGTGGACAGAACGGAAGATTTCAAGAAGTATATGTTGAAAGGTTTGTCTAGAGAATAATATAATAAATTATTATTATAAAGATTCAATAAGTGTTGTAATACTACTATAGCTCAATCGCTTTTAACTTGTTTTAAAAAAATGTGAGTAATTATAAAAACATTTT